TCCATGTAGAACAGGACTTTTCCAGTTGCTGGAAATTTACCAGCTGCTCCATAGAGTGTTAAAAATCCTACATAATTCTTTTTACAAAGATGAGAATTGTGCAGGGATTTTTTTTTCAATAGGTCACAGCATCTGAATATCTTTTTCAAGGTTTCATTGCGACTGCCAAGCTTTATTCTGTGGGATATATCTTTCCTGGTTATTCTTTATGGTCTATAGTCAATCCTGAAAGGCAGAAGCTTCAGTCTCTTCATTATCAGTTTTAAGGCTACAATAGGTGCTACATTGTCATTACTTTGGGCTTTATATTTAACTATAGTCCCTTATTTTCATTAGGCTCCTTGTCTTCTCCTGCAAAATTTGGAGATCATTTGCATTTTAAGCTGTGTCATCAGCACAGTATAAGGTTCTTCCTGTTTTAAAACAATGCTTATCTTCTTCCAATCTAATCTCCTTCAATTAATGTTCAGCATATAAATTGAATAAATAAGGAGAGCGTATACAGCCTTGTCTCAGTTCCTTGCTGACTTGAAACCAGTCTGTTTCTCCATGTTCCATCCAGATTGTGGCTTCCTGTTCTGACCCTAGATTTCATGTGAGCACAATGAAATGTTCTCGGATTCTAATTTTCCTAAAGACATTCCACAGCTTGACACAATCAACACAACTGAAGGTCTTTCTATACAGGTAGTCCTCAACTTACAACAGTTCATTTAAGGACCATTCAAAGTTACAACAGCCCTGAAAAATGTGATTTATGACAGTTTTTCAGTTTTGACCTTTAGAGCATCCCCATGATCATGCGATCAAAATTCAGATGCTTGGCAACTGATTCATATTTATGACGGTTGCAGTGTCCCAGAGTCATGTGATCCCCTTTTGCAACCTTCTGACAAGCAAAGTCAATGGGGAAGCCAGATTCATTTAACAACCATGTTACTAATTTAACAGTTGCAGTGATTCGCTTAACTGTGGCAAGAAAGGTGGTAAAATAGGCAAAACTCACTTAATAAATATTTCACTTAAGTATGCATACTGACTTTTAGAGGCGATTTTTTTTGGTTCAAGTATCCACTATACTTCAGCAAAAATGTACTTTGTTCTCTGACCTGTTTTAAAACCATCTTGAACATCTGGCAGATCCTTTTCTTTCTGGAGTTCTACACTGCCTTGAATGTTCCTAAGCATTATTTTAATAACATATAAAACTAAGGATATTATATGGTGGTTTGCATGCCGTATTATGTGCCTTGAAATATCTAGATTCTTCATTAATTCCTGTAACTTCCCAACTTGGTGTTAACCAGAGTATATTCTAAGGTATCTTGAATGTTGACATCTCTATAGTACATCCTTTCCTTCTTTCTTTGATCTTCATTGAATCAATAGCGATCCATCCAGTGGCATTCTTTAGCATGCCAGTTCCAGGTAGAAACCACCTTCTGAGTTTGGAAATCTTTTGTAAGACTTTTCCTGTTTTTCCATGTCTATTTCCATTTTCAATATCTTTACAGATGTTGTAATACCGCTACTTGTCTCAACTCTCTGAAATTTAGCGAGAGAATTTGTCTCACATTTTGCTTGCTTATGTTGTCAATTTCAGATTGAATTTGGACATAAAACCTATCAGCTTCCTTTTCTTTGCATCAGTGATTGGAGCATAAATTTGAGGGATTGATATATTAAAGGGCTGTTTGTAAAGTGTGATTTATATTATCCAGTGATTGACTGTGTTGAACTGAAGTACAGCCTTTGCTACATTCTTCCTTACTATAAAAACAACATTGTTCCTTTTTTATGTTCCAAGTAGTAAATAGCATGATATCATGAGTGAAAATGTCCAGTTCCAATCCATTTCAATTTGTTGATGCCTAAGAAGTCAATATATAACCGATTCATTTTATCTTTCACTATGTTGAGGTTTCCCATATTCATGCTTCTTACATTTCATTTTCCCATTGCTATTCTCTCTCTGCACTTCGGATGTTTTTCTCCTGCATAGCAACTGATCAGCAACTTGATGTCCTGAAAGCCTTAATTTAGCCACATCATAAACAGCATTAGTACTCTGAGGTCCTCAGTTCTTCCTCATCTTTAGTGCCATCTGACCTGAAGGGCCCCATCATCTGGCACTATATTGGCATATTTAATATTTTCTATCCATGTGGGGCAGGGGTGGGTTCTACTTACCTTTACTACCGGTTTGCAACGGGATTGCGTGCACGTGCTTGCTTAGTTTACACAGATGCACGGCATGCACAGATTGCCGATGACGACATCTGGGGCAGTGGGCGGGGCCTCCCGCTGCTTTTACTACCGGTTCTTGCGAACCAGTTCGAACCGGGGGGCAACCAACCACTGATGTGGGGGTTTTTTAGGAAAAAAATATATAGGAGTGGCTTAATCTGCTTTTCTAGTGCAAAATGAAATAATGCATTTGCTATTGTCACTAAAATTATCATCCACCCACCACCACCCTCTGCCCGATATAGGAGCTTGCTTGCTTTAGTTGGGCACTCGGAATGACTTTCACATCTTTAGTGATTCTCCTTGGAGTATATTTCTGGTGTTCTATTCATATCTGCCAGGAACATCCCCACCACGATGGAGCATAGCAGGATAGCCAAGTGTTTAAACTGGATTTGGCATTTTTGTCTACCTATCAAGTCCTTTTCAACAACCTGGGTTAGGCAGATGTTGTTTAATATTATTAAAGGTATTGTCACAGGATGTAAGCTGTTCCAAGTGAAGCTGCCTTCTGCAACTGACTGATGGTGATTTTGTCAATGCCGATAGTGTTGTAAAGTGCTCCAGATCTCAGTGGACTTCAACACCTAGCATAGTCCATGTTGACTTGGATGATGACCAATCTAGTATGTTTCTGTAATTTATGTCTTGCCATATTGTTTATGAGAGACACTTTTCATCTAGCTCCTCTGATGAGACCTATCCAGTATGATTGAATTGGTCATTGTTATTTTATCTTGCTCTTTTTAGATATAACTCAAGGTGGTAAACATACCTTTTGTGTCTAAGGGACTGAGTGATTTTGGGTAGTCATTCTTAGCACAACTAGCTCACAGGGGAAACCACCTCATGGGGAAAATGGGAGGCAAGAATATTAGGTTTAATTGTATCTAAAAAGAGCAGGATCAAATAATGGTTTTTTAGCCAGCACCTTAACCACTACACCAAACTAGATTGCCAGAAGGTAAATTCAAATGTTTGCGACCTAGTTCGGGTGTGTGTGTGTGTGGTAAATTTAGAAACAGAGATAAAAGTTATTAATTTTTTAAAAATCAGAAATATTTTCATGGTATCTTGCTTTAGTAGCAAGTTTTTTTTGCAAGCTATTGTTTAGCTATTATAGGGTTACTGGATTAGAGTCTGGGAAGATGTTTACTTTAGTTAGGTGAAGTAGGTCAACACTGACATCTTGTGGGAGAGAAAATGTGGCACAGTATACCGGTAGCTTTTCTTGTAATAATCAAACAAATGTTTGCATATAATCTTCAACTGTCTGAACTATATTAGATCCCATTCTCTAAATGTTTTGTTATGTAGTTAATTATATCTAACTATTGGCTTAGATTCTGCTTTCTTTGCTGGTCCTGGCCCTTAATACTGACAGATGGTTTTTAATCCAAGCGATAAATTATCCTTTAGGCATGCACTGCCCGAGCTTAAGCTTACACCATCTTATCTACTCCCAGAGTTATGATCAGGCAATACTATTTCTTAAATCATGCATTATGGATATAAAATGACCCTGACTTAAGTAGATTTCCTAACCTTCCCTAATCAAAAAGCAGATTAACACCTTCTAAGCATCTTACAAAACTAACAGTCCCAGCCACAGAAGATATTTATAGTAAGTTATATTCAGTTATATTGAAGGCAATATAAGAAAACTTATGGTGCTTATGCCCATGTGAAGATGAACCGTTGAGGATGTTTCTGCACTATAGTTCTATAGTGATATTAGCAGTGCTCTTATTTTCTGAATACCTGGTCACTCGACTCAATTCTATCTTTTTAAAAAACCTTCCAATGTTTTGTCTGTGAGGTTGCAAAATTCTTTGCAAGAACACTGATATTTCTACCTTATGCTGGTCCAACACCATTATAAATTTGATTGGCTTTACCGGATCATTCCTGATCATCTATGTAGTATTTAATTATGACTGGGCCACGCCATCATTCTTAACTCAATGTAACTCACTAGGATCTTATTGTACAGAAAAGGTGGGAGGAGGCAGATCTAGTGGTTAAGGTGCTGGCCTAGAAACCAGGAGGCTGTGAGTTCTAGTCCTGCCTTAGACATGAAAGCCAGCTGGGTGACCTTGGGCCAGTTACTTTCTTTCAGCCTGACCCACCTCACAGGGTTGTTGTGAGGAAAATAAGAGGAAGGAGTATTAAGTATGTTTGATGCCTTGAGGTACTTTGATAAAGGTGGGATAAAAATTAACTAAACACATGTCAGGGTTCTGACCGATGCCCCCTGCCTATGGCAACTCGGGAGGAGGTTAGGGAAGCTTCGCAAGTTGACAACATACACACAAACACACACACACTGCCTTGGGCTCCTGAATGAAAAGTAGGATAAAGATAATTTCTACGTTTTTACGTAGAAATCGTAAAAACCAAGCCAATAAACCACAATATTGTACTCAACAACCAGCATTTTCTTTGAACTGAAAAGATATCATTTGCATAAATTAATGCCATTATCTTGTCCTTGTAAAACAGTAAACTTACTTGAGATTGTTAAGAAAACTGGAATGTTACTTAAACTGCCTACTGGATGGGATTAAAATATATGTACATTGATCTCATGAGAAATGTTGAAAAGGTATTGAATATAGAAGCATTAACTGAAGTGGCATAATTAGCCAAAAACTGGAATTTACAATACAGGTAAAATGATTTTTTAAAATGATTTTTAAAAAACATTGAAAAGAATGGGAGAGGTGAAAAATCAGACAACACTGATAAATACATGGGATTTGTTTTAAAAATATAAGTATTTCAAGCAGTATCTAGTATTATTTATCTTCAAATTCCAAAGCAATCAGTGAGTCTGCATAAAATCTTATTTAAGCATTATCTAATTAAATGTACACACACACACACAAAGTTGAGGATGAAGGTACAGAAAACATAAGCTGGTGCAATATGTAGATCCATGTGGAAAGAAACAGCATATCCTTTTGCAAGGTATTTCTTTCTGGAATAAATCTCAAGCAATAATCAAATTGAATAAATTCTGGGATCTAATTCTATTTTCTATTTTCATTGTTGAAAATGGGGAAATAAAACTATAAAAATACAGAAAGGTTTATCTTAATCCTCACTATTAGTAAGCATTACCAATGAACATCAGTTGATGGTTTCTCTTTAATCTTCAGACTGATTTCACTCCAATATTTTTAAAGCAAAACATTGTAAACACTATTTTAAGAACATTAATAAACAAAGAAACATACATTTTATTCAACAAGTTGCAAACCAGATTAAACCATTGTTGCCAGTTTTGATATTTCTGAATCAGGTTCTTTCCAGATTATGATGTGCAACCTCTCAATGATTATTTACATTAGAACATGACTTTTGGAGTTTTCATTTCGATATATTCTCTATTTGAACCAAGGCTTCCTTCTCATGGGCTTCAATTTCCTTAAGCAACTGTTCTTTTTCCTTGAAATAATCCCGGAACCATTGAATGTGTTCTATTTTTTGTTTCACACTTAAGTAGGGATTTTTGGAAAGTCCGCATGTTACAAGTTCCATGAAGTGGCGAATTGGTCCTTCTTTAGGAAAGTCTGCCAAATGCTTATCCAGAAATATATGTTCATAAAATTCACCATCTATTTCAAGACCTGACAAAGGAAAAGATACAATCACTGTCAAAACATTTCAATTCACAACCTCCCTGAGCAGATTGCCGCATCTTGTCTTATAATTTGCAAATGATTTGCGAACATTAATCCCTATGGTCATCTAAGGCAATATTCCCAATGATATCTTGAGCTTTTAAAAGCCACTTTGATAATTATTTGTTTTTAAAACAGTTTTTATAAATTCAATACATTGCTCAGCTGACCAAATGGAATGAAAAGCTTTATACATCCTCTTGTGCTATCTGGATGTCCCAAAAAGACATTTACATTTTTGAGTCTGTCACTCAACTTACATTCTATTAAAAGGATTTTTAAAAAGTCACATTGATAAAGCTGAAGAAGAGCAGATTATTTATTTATATTTATCAAACTTATATACAGTGGTACCTCAGTACTCATCATTAATTGGTTCCAGGAAGCATGATGAGTATCAAAAGCAATGAGTACCAAACAATTTTTTCCCATAATGTAGTGTGTCACAAGGCAGCCGACAGTGATAAGGTCTAGCTCATGCATTGAGTACCAAACGATGAGTACAGGGACAAAATTTTTGTGTCAAAATGCATTGAGTATCAAATTCGATGAGTTTCAAAGCAATTGAATACCAAAGTATCACTGTATTGCCCATCTTGCGTTCAAGGTAACTCTTGATTAAGATGTATCTGACAGGACCACATACATTATCTTTTTCACTTATCAAATGAAATTATGTCCTGTTTTCTTCATTCAAATATTTGAAGTAACCTTTAATCCTCATTTTGAGGACATGAAGTAAAAGGGATCTCTTCTTTTTAAAAAGTGATAAAAAGTGATGGCAATTCAGAATTGGTTTGTTTGTTAATGTATTTAAACAAAAAAAAAACAAAATAAAAAACAACTATGTTTGAAACCAGTCAAAAATAAGTCTCAAAAACAATATGCAAATTCTGCAAATGACTTACCCATCTTTTGTACAATATACTATATAATACTAGACTAGGCTAAACAATATATATAATAATATGAACATTTTTTCAGCTCCCTCCAAATCCACCCTGCAAAACCTCCATCCCCAATTTTCACTGAGGGGCGGAACCAAGTTTAGAGGCCTTTTAGGATACTCACCAACTTCATTGTTAATTGGGAACTCCCAAAGTTTTCCCTCATTTGTCCACTGTATCATCTCCTCAAAACCATTCTGTGGTGGATGTGAAAAGTTGGATGTAATAGTTTTGGCAAATTCCAGATCCCAAATTGTTGGTATTGCTAGTGAGTCTAAATTGTCAATGTATTAAAAAAACACCATCAAAACAAGTAACTGTTTAGTAAGTCAAGTTATCCACAGAAATGCTATTCAATGAAATTGATTATACATATATATACCTACCGGTATATTCAATTCATATATATATATATTTGTCAATAAATATAAATTTAACACAAAATAGTTTGTCGACTGCCTGAGGACTCTTGGATTGGGGCTGAAAGGTGAAAGGAAGCAGTACGCTCCTTCCCATATTTGGGTAGACCAGGTTGCTCCGATAGAAAACCCATATATATATATATATTTCAACTTTACATACATACATGTATGTGTATGTATATATATATGTGTGTGTGTGTGCATGTATGTGTATATATACACATACATACACGCATACACACATATACATACACATACATGTATGTATGTAAAGTTGAAAAATTTGACACACCCTAACAGCATAGCACAGCTCGATAAAAGGACAACTGTTTTCCATATCACTTTCTGTTTCCTGCTTTATTAGCTCCAAAACTGACTGAACAGATATTACAATTTAAAAAATAATTATTTGAACATATGTTCAAAAATGCTACATGAATGAAGAGTACTATGAAGATAAGTATTTTTTGACATTATTTGAACTAGCAGGAAAAGCGAGAGAAATTATAATTTTATTTCCTTGTGTTTCAGCCTGAAGTGAAAAATAAAAAAAGCCGGAGGAATTTTCTCTAGCTTCCCTATAAAGGAATCTGTTCTTTAAAACAAATGTTGTAGTAAGTCCTTAACTTACAACCACAACCGAGACAGGAATTTTGGTTGCTAAGCAATGTGGTTGTAAAGCCAGATGTCACATGATTGCATCACTTACCAACCACAATCTTTTCTTTTCCTGTTGTGGTTGTTAGGGGTTAGGGTCAACTTTCCCCACTTCCCTATCTCCAATTCTGTGCCTTTTTGGCTACCCTACATTCTGCTTGTGGAATGGCAAGCCTCAGCAAGTGTGGCGTGCGAACAAATGCTGGCGCTTGCAGGGAGTGAATGAATGCAGGTGTGCAAATGAAGACTGTTGCTTGCTGAAGTTTGTTGCCACAGAAGGGTGGCCAAAAGGGCATAGATGGAGGAGATAGGTGGTGGGGTTGCAGTGTCCCTGTGGCTGTAAACGTGAACAGATTGCAGTGTCCCTGTGGCTGTAAACGTGAATAGGCTACCAAAGCACTTGAATTTTGATCACACAACCACAGGGGGCTCCAATGGCCATAATTTCAGACATGGGCTGTGAGTCCATTCTTTCAGCACTGTCGCAAATTTTGAACTGTCATTGAATGAATGATTGTAAGTTGAGGACCCCCTGTATATCACTTGAAAACAACCAGTCAATGAATTATTTGAAATATTTCATGTTTCAAAAGAGGGAGTCAGAGAACAGCGTGGACAATTTTCTTCTGGTGATACAGATTTTCTGTAATTAGCAGGTAAACACGGTCAAACATCCAAAAATGCTTTGGAATATAATGCCTATGCTGATATAATGCTGATAAAATGCCAATAAGAATATCCTTTCCAAATCCCATTAAAACCTAAAAGCCAATGCAGGTAGTCCTCAACTTATGACCACACCTGAGCCCAAATTTTCTGTTGCTAAGTGAAACATTTGTTAAGTGAGTTTGGCCCCCGTTTACTTTTCTTGCCACAGTTGTTAAATGAATCAGTTGGTAAATTAGTAACATGGTTGTTAAGTGAATCTAGATTTCTCATTGGCTTTGCTTGTCAGAAGGTGGCAAAAGAGTCTGAATTTTGATTGGGGATGCTGTGATGGTCATAAGTATGAAAAATGGTCATAAGTCACTTTTTCCAGTGATGTTGTAACTTTGAATGGTCACTAAATGGACTGTTGTAAGTCGAGGGCTACCTGTATCTGTCTCAAGTTCCTCATTAGTGGGAACCTAGGATGCTGCTTTAGATCAAGTCAGATTATTGAACTATTTGGCTGTGTACAACTGTTGAAAGCAGCTTCTGCTACCAGGAATCCTTTAATGCAGGGCTGTCGAACTCCCAGCCCACAAGCTGGATGCGTCATGTGCTGGCCACGCCCATGTTCGATTTAGCGAAGGAGAAAAAAGTCCCGATATGTCATGTGACACCGCCGTGACAATGTGAATTTGACACCCCTGCTTTAATGCATTAGCCTACTGCAAAGCATGAATTCTGGGAATTATAGAATTGTCAGTCCAATGGAACTAGAGGGCATCAAACTGGACAAAACTGGTTTGGGCATTCAAATTGGATTTTTTTTTTAAAAAAAATCTTATCTAGAGATACCAGGAATTAAAAACACACTTTTTATATGTGAAGCCTGCACTCAATTACTAAAGTGAAACCTCTCTGGCTGAGAGCCAAATGCCTGCATTTAACATAATTTTCAACACTTCTATGCAAACACCAGGTAAAATTCCCTAAATTTTTACTGATTTACACTGTCTTGAGTATCTGATTCTAAATTCTCCCTTGCTGTTGAGAAATTAGCCTCTTCTCCAAATACACATAGGGAGTTTCTATAACATGATCTGTGGCATGTTCAAGACTAATGCAATGAGCATAGAATGGATGAGTTTTATTATACTCAAATTATCTTCCTGGTATGATTATAGTAACTATTTTGTTACTAACCTGTTTCATGTGCTCCCTCTGATTTAGGAGTGAAAATCTGTAGCCTTTCTTCAGAATAGAGATTCCTTAAAAAAAAATAATTAAAAATTCTCCTTTTGCTAAAGGATCCAATATGAATAATTCTGAACCTTGTCCTAAACAGTTTGAAAGCTTAAACATACTCCTGATCTGTTTTCAAACAATCATTGGCCACACATTTTTCAACTTTGTAACAATGAAAAATATATTCATGTATTCACACAAACACACACACAACCTAAATTAAATTTATTTATACAAATTTATGTGGCCACCCAACTTGCCAAAATGTGACTCTAGGCAGCATACAATCATCACATTAGTTTCCCATAAACAAGAACAAAAACAAATCACATAATTGGGGCGAAACCACATATGATCAGACTCCCAAGACATCTTGAGGGAATATTGACGTCTTCAAAGACTTCGTGAAGGCCAACCAGGCTAGAAGGCCAGTTGAATCATAAGGAGAGACCATTGCACAAGGCAGGCATTGCAGCCAATTACTATGCCTCCTAGATTCCAATAGATGGCATTGTTTCGGGGAAATGACCTAATAAGGAATGCTCATGGTCACAGGAAGGGATCTGTTGGTTGGGATGTGAACATATGAATTTTTCAATATGAAGACAACATTGCCTTGTTAGCTGAGAACCTGAATGATTTTCAGCAAAGGTAAGACAGACTATATGGTCCAAAAAGGAGCATGGATCTAAAAATGTACATATTGAAGAGCAATATACTGTATTTAACAGGGAAACGGACTGAACAATTTCATATTAGACACAAATGTGGTAAAGGTGAGTAGCTGCATTGGTATACTTTGGGGGAATGTTCACGAAAGGCTGGAATAGGTATAGAAAAATTTTAAGATATGCAAATAAATGCTGAAAGGTAGTATGTGGAATATAGTTTATCCGAGGAATAAATGCTTGTTAAATGAAGCAAAAATGACTTGTATAAGAGCATGCTTCTGTCCACTGGTGAGAATTTTAACAAACAAAGGGTGATGTATGAAGGAGTGTATGGATGTGGTAGAGGCAACAATGGTTAGTAGGGTAGAGAAATATGGAAGGGTACACTGAATGCTGCTAGTGCAATCTAACTTTAGCTATATTTCATTTTTTGTATCATGCTTTACTTTCTTTGCTATTTCTTATTGCCTTCTGAAAAATGTTTAACCCAAAATGTTGCTTACCCCAAAAGGGAATAGTGAGATGGGGCAGAAGTTGATTATAAATAAAATTAAAGAGAACTCTCTAAAATTAGTAACCTATTTTGATGATTTTTTAAAATATGCTTGTTTTTCAATATCTATGCTCCATGACTGACATAGCAGTTGGCCAACATCAGGTCCACAGAGGTCATCCCTTCTTTTTGCAGATACCCAACAGCTAAAGAATAATAGCAATAGTAACAGCACTTAGACTTATATACCGATTCACAATGATTTACAGGCCTTTCTAAGCAGTTTTACAGCCTATTGCCCCCAACAACCTGGGTCCTCATTTTACGACCTCGGAAGGATGGAAGGCTGAGTCAAACTTAAGCCTGGTGAGAATCGAACTGCTGAATTGCAGTCAGTAGCAGTCAGCAGAAGTAGCCTGCAGTTAGAGTTTACATACCGGTACCTGCCAGCCTTAAGCTATTTTATTAAGTCTGATTTTTATGGCATATTAAAAATGTGACAAGTCTAATCTTCTGTAGCACATGACAATAAAGGTGGGTGGGTAATAAGGAGAAAGAATGTGGCAACATCCTTGTACAGCAACTCCTTGTGGCAACATCCTTGTACAGCTAGTCCTTGACTTACAACCACAATTGAACCAAAATTTCTGTGGCTAAACCAGGCAATTGTTAAGTAAGTTGTGCCTCATTTTGTGACTTTTTGCCACAGGTTTTATGTGAATCACTGAAGTTGTTAAGCGAATCTGGCTTCCCTCATTGACTCTGCTTATCGGGAAACTAGATGGGAAGGTTACAAATGGTAATCCGATGACCCTGGGTCAGCGCAATGTCATCAATGCACAGCAATTGTTGCCAAGCACCTGAACTTTGAGCACGTGACCATGCGGATGCTACAACAAACGTATCAGTGGTGGGTTCCTCCTGGTTCGGCTGAGCCGGTAGCAGTGACAATATGACGTCACCGAACCGGTTCTCTTTGTTCAGGAGCTGGGCCCTCCCACCCGCCCCCACATTATTCCTACCTTTTATTTCTTCTTTTTTAGCCCAGCTGACAGCTGGGCAGATTCGTAACGCGCTTGCACAGAAGCGCATGCACAAAGAGGCGATCACGTGCGAAGCGTGTGCACAAAGAGAACCGGTAGTAAAGCCGATTAGAACCCACCACTGAGTCATATGTGTGAAAAATGGTTATAAGTCACTTTTTTGGTGCTGTTGTAACTTCGAATGGTTACTAAACGAATAGTTGTAAATCAAGGACTACCCGTAATGGTTTATAGGTTTAAGATTTTAAAGAGATACATGCAGAAAATCATCAAGTAAAGTACCTTTTAATTCTACCGATTTCATTAATATGTGCCATATTGCCATCTTCATCTTCATCACATGCAATTTCACTGGATGCTTTGAAGGCTTTCCGTGCAATAGGCTTTCTTCTAATTTTCATGCTTGCCATAATCTTGCTAAAGTTAAAAATATTAACATGTAAATATTGGCATGTACTGAAGGATGCACGGTACAGATTTTTTGTTCATGTTTGCTATTCTGGTGCAATAAAGAAAAGAAACATAAATATGAAAATATGAAAATGTAAAGAAAAATTCAATTGTGTGGATGTTCTGAAACCTATTCTTTCCCCCCCCCCTTTCCATCTTCTCCTATTTTTTTAATCTAATGTTTCACAGACCAGAAACCTAGCAGCAATGACTTTATTTTCTGTGTTTGGATTATGGAAATGGGAACCTTATAAACTAAAGAACAGTGCCAAGAATGCTTTTAAACAAACAAATAAACGTTGATATCCATCATCTTTACAATTACAATTTACAAAATAATACAATTCGGTCTATCCTTCTCCAGAAGATCAGCCGGAACAAGGCTATTTTCCCTATTTTCTTAGAATTCAGTAGGAATTGGCGTATATTGGCAATGTCTTGTAGTAATGGTCTTCTCAAGCATTAAGGCAGTAACAGAAAATGGTCTGTTTAACCTTGCATTATTTCTAAGTAGTAAACTGAAAAATGATGCCAGACCACAAAGAATTCTGTAAGTCAGTACAAGCACCTTAACTAAATTTGGCTGCTGAAGATCAGAGAAGTTCTATTAAGGAAGTAATGAAGATGCATCTGACTGCTAACCTAGAGGATAAGCAAAAGATGCTGTTAGCAAAACTCCCAGGGTATTTCCAAGGAAAGCATAAGTATCAGTTTTCCAGTATACAAACCTATAGATGGTAGAACAGGAACCTGGAAGCATACCTGAAGAGACCTACCTGGCCACCTATTTTTCTAATAGCAAGCAATTTAACCACATTCCCAGGTGAGATCCTTATATTGGGTTTTAAATAAATAAGAAAGCAATGTCGTTTAACCATAGTCTTCATATTGACTATATACTCCGTCAGCTGACCTGAAGGCTCTATCTGATGTTCTCAAACACCTGCTTCAAGATGGTAATAGCATTACTGGGTATTAACAACATATTAATGACATCTTATTCCATAAAGCTCAATATATATCGCCTCTTCCTATAGGTATTAAAAGGTCTTATCAGCACAAGGATCCCCCCTCCCCAAAAATTACATGCCAAACTATTTAACCTTTAGCTATTCAACCTTTAGCCTTCCTAATTGGTATCTTTCAGAAACATTGGGTCTATGAGCTCCTGTAATTTTTAGCCAACTGGTCTAGGAATGCTGACACTGCAGCCCCAACACATCCGGAGAACATCACATTGAAGAAGATTGCTCTACTTTTTTGAGTTGTTTTAAAGGAGGCTTACTTGTCTGCAAGTAAGGCTGACTGCAGCCTTCTAGTTCAGACAAGAAATCTGTAGGACAATGGCCTGGAGAAGATGAGATTAAAGGAAAGCTTTAATGAGTCAAACTAAAGCACTAATTTTTAATTGCATAAATCATTATGCCAGACTGAATATTTTCATCACTGACAGGGCAGTATGATGAACAAGCCAGTTATACTGATTTGGTAAAAACACCAGTTTATTTCATCCATAAAATGGCCAGCTCTGAAATTTTTCTTCAAAATCACTCTTAATAGAAAGAGCAAGCACTCTAGAATGCATTCTTTTTCCCTCTAAGCAACATGTTACTATTGTTGCTATATTTTTTGTGAGCCATCCGAACTGGAATTAAACAAGATCTGTATTATGCTTGTTCAATTAATTGTTATGTCAGAGCACAGTGGGATAAAGAAAATGTTGTTGTGAACATATACAAAATTAGTGTCTGAATGCCATGCCATCCTTTAAATATCAACTTAAGTTTAAAGACCTGGGATACTGGAGGTGTATCTTGGCGCTAAATTTTACTATTTAAAATTTAAACATTTAATGTATTTTGTGAATTTACGCCATAATTTCCATTGAGAGAATACACATTCCAGAGTCAAATTCTGTACCGCTATAATTTTAATTCAGCAAATATTCAGTGTTTCCTATGTTTACAAAAGAAACTGATGGTGAAGATTTTGTAAAGCAGTGATACCCATAGGTTATCTTATATCACTGCAAAAACAGAAAAGCTTAGCCATAATTTTCTGGCAGAAAACCAAAGAAATGCAAGTTATAAGGGATACATTAGTTATACAGGGATACATTTATTCATTTCTTCTTGAGAAAAGTAAATTATTTTCTGAAAGATCTGTGTGTGAAGAATTTTGTTTTATACACCAGGCATTTAAATCAGAATATATATTAACCTAACTACTGTTGGATTCAACAAGGGATTATTTAATTGAAACATAATACAAGTTTCTATTAATGGGTAAACATTAAATTGAAGAACTAAATGTCTTATAAGGATGTGCAAAATTTGTAAGTCTGAGAATCAGGAACAAATGTGGAAGGCAACAATACGATCCCAAGAAGCATCACAGCAGCTGTACAGAGTTGCTATATTTGTCCTGGATGTGCTCCAAGTCCAAAACATCTTTTAAAGACTGAATCTAAAATGCTGGACAGCCCAAATATCTTCCGGCTTCAGGCTTATTGTAATTTGGTTTTGCTTAAGTTGTTCTGCAAGAAGTTGGCTAATAGATGGTTTTTCTTCTGAGCTGGCACTTTGATGGATTCAGCAGGTTTAGTATGAATGCATTTTATAAACTTCTCTAATTAATCTCTTAGTTAAGCTTGGTAGCCCCAAAACTGTTTCTAGCCAATATTGAGGGGGGGGGGAATCTGAAATATATTAATGCAAATATTTCAATACCGCTTGTTGCTGCATATTTGATTTTACACTCTTTTGTGGAACTTACCAAAGAAGACAGAAGCAGAAAAGTAAGAAATTACAGCAATGTATTGTACAACTTCAAAGAAATACAGAAATGAAAAGATTGGCTAAGACTGCTTTAAACTTTCTTGACTCCAAATTCAATTTTGCATTTTTAAAAGAAAGCAAATAAAAGCAAATTATTATTATTCATCTCTTTTCAATGTGGCAAGCATATTATGGGAATAGAATTATAGCTACAAACCTTAGGTCAGCCATTCTATGCGCATTCATTTCTTCCTTGTGCTTTTTTACCAAATGCAACAGTTCAGAAGTTGTCTTTTGTTTATCGAAAGGGAGTGAAGATGCAACAGCAGAGGCTGCTGCCTCCAATTCTGGAACATGTTGGTTGCTGAAAAAAGAAATCCAAAATATAAATGCTTATTTTACATTCTTTGTTGCCCATATTTTGCTAACCTTCTGAGAACAGGCAGAAAATTAACAATGAATACAGTAGAAGAAAGCATCATCCAATTACTTTTTTGAAATGATCCCACTGTACTAGCAATGTTCAACTGACAGACAGCTTCAACCCCTTCAAATAGCGAATCGTTCTCGGTAAAGCAGGACATATGTCCACTTGATTCCTTATTAGTCATGGAAAGGAAACATTTTCCAGGCCTTAATTTTTCCACTGAAAAATAGCTTCATAAATGTAATAATTTAGTAATGGTTAAATTATACCAATTGCATAATACAATATTAGACAACTTTAACATTTCAATTACTGTTTTTTAGGTGATAACCCCTTGCAAATATTTTAAACTATTCACTCTTTTTATCAGAAAATTTTCCATTTCAAACTGGCCATTTTCCTATTCAAATTCCCTTAATTTGCATAGAAAATTTTTAGCACAGTCCCCTTATGATTGATCATCATCAGGCAGGCTCCAGCTAACATATTTCTAAAACTGCAAAATACTAGCACTGACAGGATATAACAAATATTCTGGTTATCTTCATATTTTCATCTCTAAGAAAAAAACCCTACACATTTGCACAAAAATATATACCAGTAATGTTTACATGCATCTTTGCATATCCTACCGTATATAACCCCGAAGTAGTCAACCTATTGTACTCCATATGTTGCTGGATTCTAGCTCTCATCAATTGCAGTTATAATAAAAAGCAACAGCATCCTGAGGACTTCAGATGTTATCCAGAAAACTGAAGGAGTTTTAATCTACTTTCTTCTAACTGTATAATATTTTAATATCCTAATCCCTCTCATATGCAGCAGATAGAACTCTTTCTGCCTAGTTAACTGATCAAAGTTCTCTAGTGCAGGGGTCTCCAACTTCGGCCACTTTAAGACTTGTGGACTTCAACTCTCAGAGATACTCAGCCAGCTTTGCTGGCTGAGGAACTCTGAGTTGAAGTCCACAAGTCTTAAAGTGGCCAAGGTAGGAGACCCCTGCTCTAGTGGATGATCCATGATTCACAATGAAAAGGCAGAAGCCAGGACACCAGAACAAGCAAGCAGGAAGGAAGCCCAATGCTTACTGTATAATGAAAGCAAAAAAACAGAAAGTGACGTGAGAAACATTAATGCAAGGAAAAGAAACCTGGAATTGTTGAGGAACCCTCATAAGGCTTTAGCTGTGGTACTGCAGAACTGGGGTAATAAACTGCTAATGCCAACAGAAACAGCAACAGGTATCCTGGTAAAAAGCCAGTTTGGCCTAGTGGTGAAGGCACTAGGCTAGACATCAGGAGACTGTGGGTTCTAGTCCCTCCTTAGCATGAAAACAGCTGGGTGATCTTGAGCCAATCACTCTCTGTCAGCACAACTCATCTCACAGGGTTGCTGTTTTGGGAAAAATAGGAGGAGGAAGGAGTACTGCCTTGAGTCATTTGTACAAATAATATAGATGGAATACAAAGAAATAAACATAAAATAAATAAATGGGACTGTCTAGTTCCTGGCAACTGGTTGGGATTTTTTTTTTTTTGGTCCTTGCCACCACAATTTGACAAAACAATTTAAGGAGAGAACTCTTGGGGTCATACTCAGAGCCCACAGGTTTTGAATCCTTGATTGAGAATGACTCCACATAAAATCAGAATAAAGTGTCTGAAGAATTTCTCCTTATTTTCACAACACAATGAATAAAGCTGGTCATTTCTGAATCAGACAGAATACATATCAAGTGTCCTTCTGGCTCTTTATTCTTTTTCTTTTAAATACACTATTTATTTATCATACTCACTGCCCCTTTTTGGTATGTATCTCTTTGAACAACCACAGTATTTGTAGACAAACAGTATAAAAATATGCTATCATAACTTTACCTTTTTTCATCATCTTCCAGCAATCTGCTCTGGGCATTCTCCATAATCTTCTTCTTTGTGCTTAGTTCTATTTTCATTCCATGGATTAATTGCAGCAATTTTTTCTTTGTTTGTACTTGTGTTTTCTGCTCCTGATCTGGTGAAACATTTGTATTGGTGCAGCTGACTTGGTCATCTTCCTTAGTGCAGAAGGCAGGAGTGGTGCTAAAGAATTTACTAGGAAAGATGAAGAAAGCACAGACTAATGATACAAACTGATTTTTATTTTTTACAACTTAAAATCTCATAACAAGAGATTATTATGAGATCATGCAAATATCTGCAACAAGACTGAGATCTATAATACATGTAAACATTTAATGTTTAATGGCCAGTTAATTCCAGGGTTTTTTTAAAAAATACCCTAATGTTAAAACATACAAAATGTGCCTTGTTTCACAAAGCTGCTATACTAAACCTACTATACATATAGTAAACTCCACCAGAAACTCACATTTAATGTTTAAATTTAAAAAATGCAATTCCAGGGATAATATATGCAATATAAACTTGTTAGCATTTAATAACAATCACACCTTTGTTTTTGAGTTTTTCTAATATTTATTCAATTTGTATGGCTGCCCATCTCAAACAAGTGATGCTGGATGGCAATCACAAAATCAATTAAAATCCAAACTACACTCACAATACAAAAAAATAATAATGAAATACATACAGTAGCCAAGATGTGATCATCCATAGATGTTAAAATAATCAGGAAATGAACTCCTTCACATACTCGGGATTTCAAGCCAGGGCACATAATTAAGCTTTCAATGCCTTAGTAAATATTTTTCTGGAGAAGAACCGTATCTTACACTGATTTTGAGTTTTTTTTAAAAAGATGCTATTTTTCACATAAAATTGATTAGAAACAATCTTGTAAGGGTTAGGGTTTACAGAATGGGGGCTATCAGATGAGAAAATCCCAAGGATGACACTGGATGTATTTGACAGAGACAAGAAGAAATTCCCAAATTATGAACTTTGAAGAAAGAGAATCAGGCTGGATATGTTCATCTTAATGTAGTCGAAGCACACTGCAGTGTTTTGTTTAAGCGGTTGCCACAAAGAAGAGGGGATCAATCTATTCTGCAAAACACCTGAAGGCTGGACAAGAAGCAGTGGATGGAAACTTATCAAGGAGAGAAGCAATATACCCTAGAACTAAGGAAAAATTTCCTGACATTTAGAACAATTAATCAGTGGAACGAGTCGCCTCCAGAAATTGTGGATGACCCAACACTGGGGGTTTTAAAGAAGAGATTGTCTGAAATGGCATAGGTTTTCCTGCCTGAGCAGGGGGTTGGACTAGAAGATCTCCAAGATCCCTTCCAACCTCTGTTGTTCTGTTATTGTAATCATGTGTAAAACTACTGTTGCTGAATCAGCGCCCAGTGTTCACCCAGTACACTGACACCATTCTGATTTAAAAATTGGTCGAATTTGTAGCAACCACAACCAAACCTCATGTCTTTCCTGAACTCAACCCACAACTTCCTGAGCGAGCTGAATTTAATATAAAAAAGGGCGTTTTACCTCTAAAACCTACCGCCTGCGCATGATTCGTCAAAGAACATTTGGAAAAAGAATGATGGGAAGTGGCAACACCCACCCACCCCTGCAGACATCTGAAAGGAGAATATTAATTGCCTTGGAAATGGGGCATGGAACACCGATATACTCTTACGCGGAGGGGAGGGGGAGCCACCTTCTTCTCTCCCAAGTACCTGTGCAAGGCCACCACCACATCCTCTCTTGGAGCACCGAAGCGAACCAGAGCAGAGAGGCTCCCGGGGACCCTGGCGCTTCTCCGCCACATTATCCTAGAAGCGGCCAGGAGTCACGCTCAATCTTTCCGTACCACAAAGTGCTTCCGCCACAAGCTTCCGCCAAAGTGCTTCCGATAAGGTTCCCCCACCCCCACCAGTCCGTCCGGAACGCAAGCGCCCGAATATTGGTTCCGCAGCCGGATAAACCTTCGCGCTCTTTTTTTTTTCTTCTTCTTTTTTTGGAGATGGTCATTTCTCGTTCTAAACGGGAGGGGAAAGGGACGCCGCCGTTTAAATATGTATTGCGTGCATGTTCAGAGGGTGGGAAATGATGATTTCTAAATTGTATTTGTGAGGTTCACCGCCCCAAATCTAACGAGATGATTGATTGATTGATTGATTGATTGATAGATCATAGATATAGATGATACTGTATAGATAGATGATTGATAGATAAGATAGATATTGATAGATAGATATTAATAGATACTGTAGATAAATAGATGATTGATAGATATTGATAGATACTGTAGATAGATAGATAGATAGATAGATAGATAGATAGATAGATAGATAGATAGATAGATAGATAGATAGATAGATAGATAGATAGATAATCCTGCATATAGAGCGAGGTGACAATCAGGTCTATATGTGTGGCATGCAAAGGGATAGATCCATCCAAGAAGGGAATGTAATTTACCAATGTCTAAAAGGTAATTTCAGGGTGCTCTCTGAGCATGCTTGTGTTCTTGCAGACGTTTCATTACTCAAACGAGATAAGATCGTCAGTGATGATGTTACCTACGGTAGTAGTTTGGGTAATGAAACCTCCGCAAGAAAACAATGGAGCTCAGAGAGCACCAAGGACCCCTTCATGTCAACCCTGAGCTACAAATATTCTCCTTTAAAAGGTACATTGCAAAACGACCCAGAGACTCGCGGCCTCCCCCGCTCCCTCTAAGGTTGCCAAGGCCACCTGGCCGACCTTCGGGGCGGGCTTTGGAGGAGGGCGGGCAGCAGGAGGGCGGGCAGCCTCCGGTTCCGCTTCCCAGGCCGAGCTCCAGAGCTCCAGCTCCTCCTCCTATCCTTTTCACTGGCAGGCGGGTGGCAGGCGGGCGTCCCTTTGATCGCAGGTATATAGCGCTCGCTGCGAGGGAAGCGAGCCGAGCCGTTCTGGAGAGGCAATGCAGCTGAGTCAGCCGAAGAGAAGCGCAGGGCTTTCGGTGGCAACTCCAGCGGAGAGAAGTAGCCGATTTCAGCGGACGCACACCTGGGACACCGTCCCTCCCTCTCTCGGGGAGCTGCCCTCTTCGGTCTGCAGGGATCGACCGGCGCGAAATCTTGTTTTCTTAGTGCTCGGATTCTTCCTTGGTCTAGTTACAGTCTTTCATCTCGGGTTTGTGCCGGCTTTTTTTCTTTTATTTTCTGTTTTTAAATAATGTATGACTTGATTTTCTATTTAGCAGACCCAAGCTATTACTGGCTTTGCAGCTGGAGAGATGGAGATAGCATCTGCCTGCAGATCTTTAAAATAGCTGAGCCTCTTCCCTGGATGAGCTGGCCCACAAGCCCCGGAAAAGATGCAGTTACTTTAAAGAGCTGTAGAGTGATGCTAGGTTAGTGCCCTTGGTGTTGCTAAAGGAAATTTTTGGAATAGAACCCAAAGCATTCCCCAGCCCTAATTTAGGTATATACATACAATGACACATGAATTTACCATATGCCTAAATATATATGCCTAAATTTATCTATATATCATCTATAACTATATCTTATCTATCTATATCTGTAATTTATTATTTGATTTGTATCCCACCTTTATTAATGCATGAGTAACTTAAGGCTGTGAATATATGTAATACTTCTCTGAGAGAGAGATTGGCCCATTGTTACCCAGCTGGCTTGGTACCTAAAGGCAGGACTAGAAATCAAAGTCTTCTGTTTTCTAGTTTGGTGCCTTAAACCACTACAGGTAGTCCTCAACTTACAACAGTTCATTTAATGACCGTTCAAAATTACAATGGTACTGAAAAAAGGAACATGATTTTTTTTCACACTTACAACCATTGCAGCATCCTCTGGTCACATGATCAAAATTCATATGCAACTGATTCATATTTATGACGGTTGCAATGTCCCTGGGTCATGTATTCACCTTTTGCGACCTTCTGACAAGCCAAGTCAATGGGGAAGCCAGATTCACTTAACAACCATGTTACTGACTTAACAACCGCAGTGATTCACTTAACAACTATCGTAAGAAAAGTCATGAAATGGGGCAAAACTCATTTAACAAATGTCTCATTTAGCAACAGAAATGTTGGGCTCAATTGTGGTCGTAAATCTGTACTGATTTCCTTTTTCCTATTAGTGTTTATACATATAAGATCATAAAACCTTGGTAAACTTTGGAGATAACTAATTTCAAGAGCTGAAATAAAGGACTCAAAAGTAATACATCCATTAAATATTAGTGTTACATTGTTACACCTCAAAATAGCAAATTTCTTGGTCCTGATGATCATCAGTTTTATATACTGTATGATAGATTTACTAATACAAAGATAAAATGTTTGAATAGCTATATAATATTTAATTATGTTTGTTTTGTTGGCCACTGAGATTGGCAAAATTCTGATCCCCCTATAGGTATCACTGTAAGATGACTATTTTTTGTTGGGCTGCCAAGTTTTTCTATAGGTGGAAGAGGGAGGGAATGGAAATAAAGATAAATGTTGTTTTGCATTGATACCTCTCCATTAAAGTCATTAAAACTGTTTAATAATAATTTGTGTGTTACTGATTGCCATCAATTGTCTGCTGCCATTCTGAAAGACACAATTTTAGTTAGCTAGTGATGGGATTCTTGTATTTAGTATTTATATATTAATGATTATTTGTATCATCATTACAATTATTGTAACTGTTCTTGCAGTTGTAGACTGCACATTTGACCTTGGTCCAGCTGTTCTAGAGAAAAGGGTCTGCTACTAAGAATATCTCAAGCCCCCTATAAGTGGGTATGATCCCCTGGATAAAGGATAAGACTCTTTGTAGTGCAGGCAGAGTCTATATGAAGATGATCCTAAAGGTAACATGTTCCTAAAATGTATGGGGCTGACCAGATAATCCCACCACTTCATGTTGAGCCATAAACTTACTGGCAAACATTGCAGCTCCTACAATATCAGCAGTACTCTGTAAAACTAATTGGTACCAATCAGCAAGAAGACTGTGCCATTCTCTGCCTTCTGAGTTATTTTCAAGGGCAGCCCCAAGTAACTGATAGATGAGGCAATGCCTTCTGAGTCTTGCAGTTATTTTAAAATAAATCATTCCTCAACCTGATACATAGTGGACAAGAAATCAAAATATGTCTCCTGAAATATATATATATATATATATATATATTAAAGTCTTAAGATTTTAAAAGAATGCATTGTAACAAACTTTAGTCATCTGATAGTTAACTGTAGTGAGCCTGCATATCTTTATAGCAAGAGAGAATGCTAGAACTATGCAGGATTCAATAGAGTTTGAGGAAATATGAAAGGAATAGGATGCTGGGGCAGGAGAGTTTGATGGTATTTAGCAATATGGCTTTATTCTGTCTGATGCTTTTATTGGGAGCTAATTTCTGGTGAAAATCACTGAAATTGTTGAGAACTGAAGTATAGTTCCCAAATCATTGTGCTTAGATCCTAACAAGAAACTCACGCCCATACTTTCTTTTTGCTAACATTTTATTTTAAAAGTGCGTATTTCTGTGATATTTCCACATGGTTTGGATGAGAAATCCAATCCCAATAATTTATATATTATATTTATATATTAAAGTAACTTTTGGTTAAGAAACAAAAGGCCTGAACAACTTAGTATATATTTAAATGCAATACGCAGTGTGACTTATTTACTTGCTGTCAAACTAACATTTTCATTTTCTTCTCTCTCCAAATCTAATTTAGAGCTACTCATCCCAGCGCCCTACATGCTACAGGAAACTTTGTGATTTAGAGTCACCACAAAGCAAATAAAAAAAAATATGAAAACAAATCCTGTCATCCAAGCTGCCATTGATCTCACAGCTGGGGCTGTAGGTAAGTCTTAGGAACTGCTGTTTACATAAATCCTGTTAAAAACTGATAGCAGATGCTTTTATGTTCTTTAAACAAAACTCTGCTCTGGAGATGTAAGGCAATTCTGTTGACAGCAGTGTGGGTCCTAAAAGTGGCTTTTATAGTGGAGGGCACTAACAGGGAATAATGTTTGACCTTGCCCTAAATTATGAGCTTCCCATGAATTGCTTCCTTTCGTCTAATCCCTTCCTACGGAGGAAAAGTAAATGTGTAAGCATTTTTTTGTCTAATAATTTCCTAACTGCGGCTTTTAATTTATTGAGCCCTTATTTCATGCTTACACAAGCATTTCAAAATATGTCACAAGAAACGTTGAGCAATGACCGATTGGAGAGACAAGATAATCTTTGTTTTGTGTTGGATTCTATAGTTAAGTGGTGTGCTGGCCAGTCAACTGCCTTTTATTTGTTTGCTTTCAGGAACGTAATAGTGTAGATGACAGCTATTGGTATTTCTCTATAGTCTCAGCTGTTACCCAGGTGAAAAGGGAAGACTGCCCATCAACCACAGACATAGAACAAGGCCTATCCTGGTTTGGAGCATAGGGGTCTCCTTGGCGGGAGCTTTCTCCCTCTGAGGCCAAGCAGATGCTCATAGGAAGCCTATAAACTGGAGAAACAAGAGACGCATAATACTTTAAAGTGAAAACCAGCCGTTTGTGTAAAATAGAGGAAAGTTGCAAATTTACTTGAGACTTCTGTCCTTTTGACGAGACTTAGAGAGAAAATACTGCTGATATCAGAAGCCCCCAAAATAGGTTCCAATGCAGAACTGTTGCATTTTTCTCCTGCTAGATCTGATCTAGGTGTGTCATCTAAGCCAAGGGTTCCCAACCCCCGGTCTGTGGACAGACATTGACCCATAGCATGCCAGCAACCAAGCCATGAAAACAAGCAAAGCCCCATCTGTGGGATGCAGACAGCATGTGAAACCATGCCCCTTCCGTTCTGTGGAAAAACCTCTCCACAGAATTGATCCCTGGTGCCCAAAAGGTTGGAGACCGCTAAGCTAGGTCATCAGTGGAGTTTAATAGCCACCATACTGCCTGAGGAATTCTGAAAGTTGAAGTCCACACATTTTAAAGTTGACAAAGTTAAGAAATACTACTCTATTGTATATCTGGACAAAGTTCCAGAAGTGAAATCTACAAGAAGCCACTACTAGTATGAAAAAGAGAAATTGGCAGGGATCATTTAGCTGCTTGCTTGTTCTGTTCTTTAAGAAGAAGGTAGGAAAAGCAGAAAATACGAATGCCCACATGCCCAACACAGAGCCAAGCTTGTATCTTGCTTGCATTTCTTAAGTCAGTGTAGTTGTCACCACTGTGGAAGGATAGGGTCTTTTCTATATCTGCATTCAGTTTTTAAAAATGATTATCAAGAGCACAAAATAATTAATTTCAGTTGTAAAATGTGTGTTCTTGGATGCAAAGAATTATTTTTTATAGTTCAAAGCATTTCACTTAGAAAAGCCTCCAGATTGACATTCTTTGGTTTTGGAGGAGAATGATGGGAAGATAACTTTTTTGCTCCCAAGTGTTTCTTCTGTAGGTCCTTGGTGCTCTTTGAGCTTGATTGTTTTCTTGCAGATGTTTCATTTCCCAACTAGGTAACATCATCAGTGTTTCTTTTGCTTAGGGTAGCAGGATTTTATAGGAGAAATCATTCTTTTCTTTTCTTTTCATCATCTTAAGTTCCTCAGTGCCACTCCTGAGCTTTTCCCAGGTTTTTTTTTTAAATATTAGAAGTATTGTGCCCTTCTTCTAGATCTGGGCTGTCAAACTTGTGGCCCGCAGGATGGATGCGTCATGCGCTGGCCACGCCCACATTGTTTAGCGAAGGGAAAAGCCGTGATGTCACGTGACGAGAATTTGACATCCCTGTTCTAGAACATTGATCACACAGCACTTCCAAGTTAGGTGAATGTGACCTTTCTTCCGTGCTTTCTTCAGAAGAAAAAAAATGGGGTGCTGGAATTCCTGTTACATGTTGTTAACATGCGGAAATCCCATAATTCATTCAGGTAACTTAATCTTAGAGCAAGCATCAGCAGTTGTTCCACTTTTTTATGATAGTACTGATGTAGATTAAATTTAGATCATGATTCTTTTTCATGCTGAGTGAGGAATTGAACTTTGGTTTCCTAAATCTGAGTCATAGCCACAGAGGCCCTCTGTGCTACTTTTCTAAACTCTGATGTTCTCCATATATTGCAACTCCCAGAATTTCCCACCAGCATGTTAAAAGCTGCATTGGCTGAGAAATTTTAAATTGTTATTCTAAAATAGCTAAACAATACCAGATTAGAAAAAGCTTGTATTTCAACAGAGGTTCCCAACCTTTCCGGCTATGCAGATTGGTGGAGGGGGAAGAGGGAATAGTTCCACGCAAGTGGCTGGCAAGTACATGTGCAGTTCCTTTTGCGTGAGTGATGGGCACCAGTGCCACTGCTCGCTCAAATGAAGTGCACCCACTCACCCAGTTTCTGCGGCCCGGGGGTTGGGACCCCCCTATACTACACTGATTCAGCTTATGGTATGTGTGGGTACTTTGCAGTGAGATTCACTGTCTGAGACTAATGGAAACATCATTCAAGTCCTAACCAAGGATTTAAGAATTAAAGTAGTATCTAAGAATGTAGGCAGTTCCAACCAGTTCCTGATTTTGTAAAATTAGGTGTGCAGGTCTGATGAATTCAGTATTTCCAGATACTGAAGGATTCCTTTAGGTTATGCTCCAAGGGCCCCAATCAAAATTGGTATAACAACAGATTTTCCCCCCCCATCATTCATCTCTGATCTGTAAACTCTGATATTTCATAATTTTTTCTAACTGTTTTTCCTCAATCCTAGCATAATCTAAAATAGCAACATAAATGAACCAGACTTTCTTCTTTTCCATAAATATCAAGCATGTTATTAAGAAGGTACTTGTCTGTTTGGTTTTTAAATTCCCATAAAATGTTAACCTCATTTTCTAAAACCTTGATGATCCCAGGGGCTTTTATTACATTCAAATCCAAACCTCTGAATATGTTTCCAATGAATATTTCTGGCAGTTTGTGAAATTTTGCTGCAGCCACTAATCAAATGGTCAATTGTGTCATCCTTTTTACAAAGGCAATATTTGCTGTTGTTTGTTACATGTTAAATATTTGCCTCCATGCAACTACCGGTAATTGACAACGTTTGTTCTTGAGCTACTAAAATAAAGCCTTCAGTTTCTTTCATTAACACTCCTGATCTTAACCAACTCCATGTGGGTTTTTTTATCAGCTTTTCCTTCTATATCTTTAATGCATTGATTTGTTCTTCCAATTAACATCAGTTTTCAGTTGTTTCTTTTCTATACTCAGCCTTCATCTGTGCTGTTTTCAAGAGCTTTCCTTGATTACCTTCAGCAAGGATTCTTGGCTTTTCTTAATGTAGTCATTCAGGCCATGCTTTTCTTTCTTCAGTTTGTTTCACCTTTAGAAGTCCTCTAACTTCTTCAACTCTTGGCAAATAGAGCCAAGAGTTTTAGAAGGTACTTTTTAGCTACAAAGCATGGTCTGTTGTCATTAGTTTTCTTGTCTTCCAATCCAAGTCATCAGTATTATTATTTCATCCCACCTTTTGTGCAATTCAAGATAGCATACATAATTCTCTCACTTCGAATTTTCCTCACAACCACCACTCTGTGAGATGGGTTTTAATAAGTCCCTTATTTGAAAAAAATAATTGGGTTAGTATGATTTTAATATATCAGCTCCATCCAGGACTCTATCCTGAATTAAGGAATTATAGGCTCGTAAAAAGGGAGAGCATGATTTTAATACATATTCTATACTATACTATACTATACTATACTATACTATACTATACTATACTATACTATACTATACTATACTATACTATACTATATTTATTTTGAAAGAGGGAAGGAATGACTGAAATGAAAAATAATCCAAATCTCAGAAAATATATTCCTGCCTTCAGATTCATAAGACTTGGCTTTTAGCTTTGAATATTTTTTAAAATGAGGGAGGTTTGAAACATATGAAATTGCCAGATAGTGCCCTATGTGAAAAAGTTGGAAACTCCTAGAGCAAAGCAACTATTGTTATCCCTACGTTCAATCTTAAAATATTGTAAAATTATAACTAACATACACATTAATATGTGCCTTTTTTGTCAAGGATAATTTTCTTTCTCCAGTTTACCTCCTTTTGCTTGAGAATGTTATGTAACAGCCAAAATGCAAAACAAAAACCAGCCACCCAACCACTCCCATTTCTGATGTTTTTACTTTCCTTTCTCATGCAGGAGGTACTGCCTGCGTGATAACCGGTCAACCATTTGACACAGCAAAGGTGAAAATGCAGACATTCCCCACCATGTACCAAGGGCTTGTGGACTGTTTTGTGAAGACCTACAAGCAAGTAGGGTTCCGTGGCTTCTACAAGGGGACCACCCCTGCCCTTGTGGCAAACATTGCTGAAAATGCTGTGCTCTTTATGTGTTATGGCTTTTGCCAAAATATCGTGAGGAAAATTGCTGGCCTAGAGAGGAAAGCAAAGCTGAGGTTAGTATGTTATTCCCTCAACCACTCTGCAACTAATAGAAGCTATTTTTTTTTAAGTATCACAGCTAGGAAGTAGAACTGCAGTTTTCACACCAGAAAATGGGAATCCTGTTGAAATAGAAACTCTGCTCCTTGACTTTCATGTTTTTCTTTTAATTATATCTTGATTTTTTTTCCCTCTGCATTTCTGGTATTTAGGACAGATAGCAGTAGTTTAAAACATAAATAGCTGTGGATAAAATCATTTAAGATTTGATTAATTGAGCTAAAAGCTTTCTCCAAATAATTCACTTAATTAGGCTATGGGTCAGACAGTGTTCCAGGCAAGCCAGCCTACTACTACGACTTTCTCAGTGAGGAATCTGCAAGAACTATTTCTTTTGTCATTTAGAAGAAAATCTGAAAACCTTTCCTTGCCTTCTTATTCCTGAAGAAATGGCAAGAAAATTTGCTGTTTGTAACATGGCACTTTCTGTCCTTACTTTACCTTAAATTAAGGATGGGAAGCTCTCAGGCTGCCTGTCTGATTTGGGTGGGAATGTAAGGCTTTTCAGAGGCCTAAAAACAAGCCTGCAATCCAGGTGTTTAGGATAGCAGAAACTCAATCATCCAATTTCATCCTGTGTGTGTGTGTGTGTGTGTGTGTGTGAGTGTGAACAAGGATAATCCTTAAACAAGGATGGGGATAAAAGTGGCTTGCTCCCATTCTCACTGTACATCCTCAATACCTTGAAAAGCAGGTGAAAAATACTGAGCTCTTCCCCTTCTGTTGATGTCACTATATCATTGGATAGTTTCCTGGTGACTCTCCAGAAAATCAGGAGTTGAGGTCCCCAATCTAAAGAAGTTGCTCACCAGTTTTAAACTATGGTTGAAGGAATTCTAAATAGCTGAGTTCCTATAACATGATAAATGATAACTCATGATTTGCAAATCATAGTGGCCAGATTCATATGATAACTGAACCAAAAATCAAATCATATCATGGTTTTGCAAAGTATATAAACCACATCCATCCACTCTCTTCCAGCCTATTCAAATACCAATTTCTTTACAGATAAGGTTTTTTTACTCCTTGCTAATCAGATTTCTATAGCAAAGGATGAAATGCTCCTTTGAACATTCCAATGAAAATCCAGTTAACAATATCCATCTCCATCAGATTGATAGATTTCAGGTCAACCAGAGGCAGGTAATATATTCTTTCTGTATCTCATGTCCTAAATCCTTGAGTTATATCCAGAATTTACCTGTTTGTGATTGTTAGTCAACTGGCAGAATCACGTGAAGCTTCAGTAGATTCCTCCATGAATCTGCTAATCTGACCTGTGACCTTTGACAAATACATGACCTACTTTCAGAGAGTTGCGTGATTGGAGAATTGTTTATTCTTTTTTTTTATTGCAAAAGTTTTACAATTACATTTTCACCCCATTTTCCCCCCACAACCCACCCCAAGCTCCCCAACCTAACCCTCCCAAACCCCCCCTAACCCTCCCCTCCCCCCCTGACTTCCACAGAATGTAATCCCATCAAAATCCCCTTTTTATAAAACCTGAACCCCTCAATCCCCCATATAGTTTTTTCATCTTCACAAAATTCAAATATTTCTATTTTTATATAATACTTTCAGTGAAAAGCTATTTGATACTTCCTAGTTTGATATTTGTTCCGCACATAATCTATCCACTTTTTCCATTCCCATTCATAAGTCTCTTGTGAGCGATCTTTTAAATATGCTGAAATCTTCTCCATCTCTGCAAAGCTGGCCATCTTCAAAATCCATTCCTTGATAGTGGGCAAAACTTCATTTTTCCAATATTTACCTATCAATAATCTCGCTGCTGTTATCATATACAATATCAACTTTGTTTCATCCATTGTAAAACCCTTAACTATACCCAGTAAGAACAATTGTGGAGAAAATTGAATTTTCTTCCTCAGAACATTCTGCATAACCCACCAAATTTTTATCCAAAAAGCCTTAACTTTCTTACAGGTCCACCAAACATGATAATATGTAGCATCTAAACAATCACATCTCCAACATTTTGGCTGAACATTAGGGTACATACACGACAATTTCTTAGGATCTAAATGCCATCTATAAAACATTTTATAAAAATTTTCCCTCAAATTCTGTGACTGAGTAAATTTAACATTCTGAACCCATATTTTTTTCCCATGTTTCCAACATCACTGGTTCTGCAAAATTTTGTGCCCACTTAATCATGCAATCTTTAACCAATTCAGTTTCTGAATCCCTTTCCAACAAAACATTGTAAAGCCTTTTAATATGCATTGGACCTTTCTCTTTTATATGTCTAACCAATTCTTCCTCATGCATCATAACACCAGTTTTTTGGTCCTCCCTCCATCTCAATTGAAGTTGATTATACTGTAACCAAGTTAAATTAATCCCTTCGTCCAACAGTGTCTCTAATGTCTTCAGTTGCCATCTGCCCACATCTGTAAAAAGAACTTCTTTATATAAAACCCCCCCGAGTGACATTATATTTGTATTCCACATGATATGACCAAGATCCAGCCATAACGGTATTTTATAATCCCATTTGAGTCGGTGCTTCTTCCAAACTCTGATCAAAGAATCTCTAAGTATATGGCTTTTAAACACTTTATCCACTCTGTTCTCATAAAATAAGTAAGCATGCCAACCAAATTCGAGATCAAAACTTTCTATATTCAATATTCCAGTCTTTTTCCTTCCAAACCAATCACTTGCTTGAGTCAAAGCTGCTGCTTCATAATATAACTGTAGGTTTGGAAGTTTAAGACCTCTCCTTTCTGGAGCATCTTGCATAATTTTCAGTTTCACTCTCGGTTTTTTCTCGTTCCAGACAAATTTATTCAATCCACTTTGCCATTCTTTCAGTTGTTTATCACTTTTAAGCACCGGAATCATTTGAAACAAAAAAAGAAATCTTGGCAAAATATTCATCTTAACTGCTGCTATTCTTCCAAGTAAGGACAGCTGCAGTTTTTTCCAAGTCTCTATATCTTTCTGTATATCTCGCCACAACACCTCATAATTATTTTGAAACAATTTCATGTTTGATTCTGCAACCTGAACTCCTAGATATTTAACCTTAGGTACAATCTCAAAACCTGCCCTGCTTTCAAGTTCATGTTTTCGATCTTGTGTCATATTTTTAACTATCATCTTAGTTTTTTTCTGGTTCAGTCTAAATCCTGATACTGTGCCATAGTCTTTTATAATGTCTTTCATCTGGATTATTGATTCCATCGGCTGTGTTAGGGTAACAACCAGATCATCTGCAAATGCCCTTATTCTGTAGTCCTCTTGCCTTATCACTATACCTTTCAAGATATTCGAGTCACGTATTGTATTGAATAAGACTTCTAGTGTTAAAATAAATAACAATGGGGATAACGGACAACCTTGTCTTGTTCCTTTTTCAATATTAAAATCTGTTGTCAAACTTCCATTGATAATAATCTGTGCCTTTTGCTCTTGGTAAATTGCTGAGACCGCCTGTATAAATTGATCCCCAAAGTCCATCTTTTTTAAAGTCTTTAATAGAAAATTCCAGTCCACCCTATCAAAGGCCTTCTCCGCATCCAAGAAAACCAGCACTGCAGGGATCTGTTTATTCTTCTCAAGATATTCCAATAAATCAATAACTTGCCTTACATTGTCCTTCATATATCTACCCTCTATAAATCCCGCTTGATCATCATGAATCACCTCTTGAATTACTGACATCAATCTGTTGGATAATACTTTTGCGTAAATTTTGTAATCATTATTCAGAAGAGATATTGGTCTATAATTCTCCGGTTCTTTAGGACCTACTTGCTCTTTTGGTATCAAAGAAATGTAAGCTGTTTTCCATGATGGGGGTATTTTACCCCCTTGTATGTTACAAAATAAGTCTCTAAGTTGTTCCACCATTTTTGCTTGCAAAGTTTTATAATACACTGCAGTCAAGCCATCCATTCCAGGAGCTTTAGCTGTTTTCAGTTGTTTAATTGCTGCAATTATCTCCTCAACTGTTATAGGATAATTCATTCTTTCCTTTTGTTGGTTGGTAATTTTTGTGATTCTTTTATTTTCTAAGTATTTTTCTATAAGTCCATTCTGCATATCATCTTTAGCATATAATTTAGTGTAGTAATCTACAAAAACTTCTTTAATTAATTTTTGTTGAAAAATTTCTTTCCCTCCGATATCAATACTATCAATAGTCCGTATACTCTGCTTCTTCCTTAATGTGTAGGCCAACCATCTGCCCGGTTTATTGGCATTACAAAATGTATTATGCTTTGCATATTGTAAATTTGTTGCAGCTTGTTCCGCCATAAGCATTTGGAATTGATCTTTCAAAAGTTTTATAGCACCACGTATTCTTTCGTCTGTTGGATTTTTAATAAGTAACTGTTCTTTATTCTTTATTTCTACTTCCAGTTCAACTTTTCTTTTGTCGATTCAATTTATGTTTAGAATTCATATGAATGAGTACCCCTCTCATATACGCTTTACTCGCATCCCACACCATTTCAATTGGGGTACCCTTATTCAAGTTTATTTCAAAAAATTCTTTAATCTGCTTTTTAAGTTCTATTATGTTTTTTTCATATCTAAACAAATTTTCATTTAATCTCCATGATCTTCTCAGTCTTTCCAGTCTCAATTTCTATCCATACTGGACTATGATCAGTTAGAGTTCTTGAAAAAATCTTTGTTCTTTTTGTCTTAACAAGTAAATCATTTGATAATAAAATAAAATCAATCCTAGAAAAAGATTGATGTCTATCAGAGAAAAAAGTATAGTCCAATTCTTTTGGATTATGTATTCTCCAAATATCTTTTAATTCCAAATCTTCTTTCATGTCGAAAAAAGTCTGTGGTAGTCTAATCCTTGACTTCGCCAAGCTCTTTTTATCTAACTTGGAATCAATTACTCCATTCCAATCTCCCATAATTAAAATAGATCTGTAATCCCATTGCAATATTTTGGTGTGCAAAGTTTTATAAAAATGATCCTGTTGTTGATTAGGAGCATAAATTCCAATCACGAGAATTTGGCCATTTATAGTGTTCAGTTCAATTGCTATAAACCTGCCGCCTTCATCTGCTTCTATAATTTTAGTTGACAGTCTTTTATTTATATAAATGACCACACCATTCTTTTTTTCCAAATTTGAGGCTATGAAATGTATTCCTAATTTTGAATTTATCAAATATTTTTGATCTTGTGTTCTAACATGAGTTTCTTGTAAACAAATTATATCATTATTAAATTGTCTCAGATATGTGAATAACTTCTTCCTTTTCTGTGGTGAATTCAATCCATTCACATTCCAAGATAGAAACTTAAGCGTCATGTATACCTTTTTGAAGCGACGAGCAGAATTGCCGAATATCTTCCGAAATCTTTGGCTTTGCTCCCCCCATGGCTTCACTTTCTTATGTAGTACTCTTGACTCCCTTTATGTATTATTGTGCCTTAGCTCTTTCCTGTAATTACTTTTCTTTGAGTTGCTTGGAAATTGCACGAGTTATACGCTGGTCTTTGGCTTCAGCCATCCGAGCTAGGTCCAAAGCCACATCTCTTGTAGTCAAAATTGGAGAAAATTCTAACAGAGACTCCTCCAAAAAACCTCCTGTAGCACCCTGCATTTCCACTGGCTCTAATTCGACCTGCTTAAGCTGCTCTTCCATCTCTTGCTGAGGTTGCTTCTCCTTATCACTCTCCTTTATCTCCAACACAGTAGATGTACGTGGGGATGGTGATCTCTCTTTAAAAACAGTATAGTAGAAGTGTTCCGCCTTTTCAACAGTATTCAATCGATATCTTTCTCCATTGTACTTCAAAATTATGCCAGTTGGAGCATCCCACCGAAATGGAATTTGAGATTTTTTTAATTCATTTACTAAGAAACCAAAATCTTTTCTATCTTTTAACATCTTAGGCGGTAATTCTTTATAAATTCCAATTTGAGCTCCCTCCACTTGCACAGAAGAAAGAAAGGATTTTTGCAAAATGTCATTTCTCATTCTTCTATCTGTAAAATATATCACATCTCTAGGCAGTTGTCTTTGTCTGGCCACCCATGAATTCACTCTGTAAATTTTGTCTATTTTGTAAAAAATCTCTTCAGAATTAATTTTTAACAACACAGCCAAAGCATCAGCACAAATCTGTCTCAGGTCTTGTCGATCATTCTCCTTAATACCTCTAATTCTTATGGCAAATTCCATGGACCGAAATTGCATCATCGTAATTTCGTTTTCCACTCTCTGCATTTTATTATCCACATCAGAAATTTTAAAATCAGTATCCTTTATTTTAACATTAACTTCTGATTTAAATTCTTCCAATTTAGAGTCCACTTTAATAATAATTTCTGACAGGCCAGACACCACATTCGATAATTTATTAGTCACCTTGCCATAATTCTCTTGCACCAGCTTTTTCATTTCATTAATTTCCTGCTTAATTTCCTGTTGAGATTTTTGAAATTTATCATCCAGAGCCTGGGTAATAAAATCTTTTAAACTTTCAAAATCAAAATCTTTTTTCTGGCTCTGCTGAGTAGGAGGAAGCTGCTGCTCAGGTTTACGTGTGGGGGATCCCTCCCCTGCTGCCTTTCCTTCCTGTTTCTTAGAAGCCATTCTGCCATGTAGATTAGCTTTTCTGAAAAAGGAGATCCTTTTTCCTTTTCCACCACCACAAAGTCCTCTAAAAAAATCCCCCAGGTTTAATCAAATTGGGGATAGAATTAGACTGAAGCAAGCTCAGGCTTATTTTAAAAGAATTTTTCCTCTTCTCCTATTCCAGCTTGTTACAAGCGGCGCTACTTTGTAGCTTGTTAAAATAACTTTACAAAACCACTCTCACTCTCAGCTTGTTATCGCTGGAGCCGGGCGCCATTTTTTCAAGCCGCTTTCACTCGCTCCGACTATTACTTAAATCAAAAAGTCACAAGAAGAATAATACTTGCAATTTCTAGATTTGAAGGTTCAGGTTGTTGTTTCCGCTAGTTATTGAAGTTAGTTTCATTAGTTTGAAAGGTTGCTGCAGCCGACTTGCTCTGCACAAAGCAGAGTCGTCCCACGCCGTCCAGAGTCTCCGCAAGTTGAAAGGGAGCCGCGCCTGTTTCCTCCCCAGTAGCGATTTTCTGGGGGCTCACAGGGGCTCAACCTGCTCTTTGCTTGTTCTTCTCCACCAATCCTTCAGATTTGGGAGTTTTCAAGCCGCTTCTTGAGATCGAAGCAGCTCTACAGGCGGCGGGGCTGGCGGTCCTAAAAAGGGACCGTCTTTCGTCGGAAGCAGACAAACCGGAAGTCCGAGAATTGTTTATTCTTAAGATCAATTAATGATTTTCTAAATGTTAACTGTTGACAATATGAATTGCAAAAAAAATCCCAAAACAAAATTAAAATGAACAAAAATATATAATATTAGTTTAGCATCTATAATGCAAAGCATCTATAAGATTGGTATGAAAATTGATGAACTGAGAGGGAGTATTAATGCCTATGAATTGGGTTAAATTAAAGGATTCTTGAAGATGGATGCAGGACATTTGAAACTTTTGAAAAGATAGAACACTCGGGACAATGGATAGGCCTGGAAAAAAAATGAGTGAATGATTATGGAGCGAATGATTGAGTGAATGATTATGGAGCTTTGAAAACATTTGGAGGACTGCCCCATTTAGATCATGTAGGCATCCAAGGGTGGGCAAAGCAAAAATAGAAATATTGTGGAAATGTGCTGGGCCACTGAGCAAGAAAGGATGGTGACTGAAAAAAAAATGGATGTAAAACTCTGTCACATCCCCAACTTCTTTCTCTCCTCTCATTTCATTACTGGTTTATCCCTGTTGATCAGTTGCCCATTGAAAACAACAAAAAGAGGCTATGCTTACTTATATTTTTAAGTAATGTTGAAGCCATCTAGATACATTCTGATAGAGAGTAAGATACGTGGAACTGCTGTAGACCACTCTTTTCCTTTAATGCTTGGTACAAAAAGACCCTTATCTATCAATGATAATTATATAGCATCCTGTTTTACGGCATGGAATTAAATCCAGTGTTGAAAGCATGATCATGGTGGTATGATTTTATCCCATTAATTATATATATAATTCAAGACAGCAAGCATACCTAATACTCCTGTCTTCTATTTTCCCTCTGGTTGCTTCAATTAGGTGGGATGCTGTAAAATGCTCCTTTGCTATCTCTTTTTAGAATTACTTGCAGCAGTGACTGGGTCAAGGCATGCCGGTTTTGAGATGCATGTGATTTCCATGTACTAGATACATGTCTTTTTTTGCAGTGACCTTCAAAATGCAGTGGCTGGCTCCTTTGCTTCTGCCTTTGCCACTTTGGCTCTCTGCCCTACAGAGCTTGTTAAGTGCCGTCTGCAGGCCATGCACGAAATGCAATTATCTGGGAAGATAGTGCAACAGCACAAGTAAGTAATTCGTTAGCCTCAACCCTGCCTGCCTTTTCCAGGTTTGGAAGTGGTTTGACCCTTTGAATGAGTTTATTTCTCTGCACTTACAGGTTTGTATATTTTTTTTTTTAAAAAATGTTTTATTACATTTTTATTGATTTAAATTCATTTAAGAATTTTTTCAGAGTAAAAGATAAATGGAAGGAAAGAAGGAAGTGGGGGGGGGGGAAACTAAAACTAGGAAATAGAATCACTTCCCATCTTTTTTTCAGTCCAAGTTACAATCGTACAGTCCCTTCTCTCTTGGATATTATGCAAGTCTCTTCAACCCCTCATTTAGTCTACATCTTTCTTAATCTTCAAATCCATAAATCTTTAGTTGTTGTTATATATGCCGCCATGAGTTGTCTTAGTAAGTACGGCATATAAACCAATTAATTAATTACATACATACATACATACATACATACCATGATAGATAGACTGTTTTTAAAACATACTTATGGCTAGCATTAGCAATTTAGTCCAGTGTTCTGGTTTATATCTTGCTAACACAACACACATTTCAATGAACCTTTGGTGATAGTGAGGTACTCCTTTTAAGATTTATTCATAAGAATCAACTCCATCTTTATCTCATCTTCTCCCTCAAGCATCGGCATCTATAATTTAGATTTTATGGAATCTGGGACCAGTTATAGTGCCTTAGCAGATCTGCATTCTAAAATAGTTTAAGCCCATTATTTTTCTCTCATGACTAGAAAATATATGGCTCACCAGATATGAATGAACTGCAGCTCTAGGATCTGTCCAACATCAATCACACTTTTCCTGTTTTAAGTAATAGACAAGAATCCTAGAAGCTTAACCACTGGCGATTAAAAGATTTTTTTAAATGAGGGATTAGTAGTATCTAGATATCTATAGTCAAAAAATTGTACCAAACTACTTCTGAGATGGGTTTTTGTGAAATACACACCTTGATTTTAACCAATTTTAACTATTAAGTGTGTAATGTGGTTTGACAATGCTCCAAGACAGGAACCAGACATCTTTGGATGCAGTTTTCCCAGCTAGCTTTTCCCATCATTAGCTGGCAACTATGTTTGTAACAATATTCTTTTTCCTCTCCTAGTACAGTTTGGTCAGTAATCAAAAGTGTACTGCAAAAGGACGGCCCCCTTGGCTTCTATCGTGGTTGGTTCAGCACTTTGCTACGTGAAATTCCAGGCTATTTTTTATTCTTTGGAGTCTATGAACTGAGCCGGACCTTTTTGTCATTTGGAAAACCAAAAGAGGAATTAGGTATGTCTGAGCTTGCTAACAATATGTCTTCATGTCTCGAGATAAATACAGCCTCTTTTAGTCCCACCCTTGCTGACTTTTAAGCCCAAAGGATTTCTGTGTAATAAAAAAAAATCTTGCTGCCTGTTCAAAATCTTCTCATATAAACACAGTAGCTTAAATTATTTATTTATTTAGTGTATGGCATATCATACATGGATTAGCAGCCTTAAAGATTACTGCTGATTTAAAAAAAAAAAGCCTAACCCAAATTAGGTGGAGAAGAACCAGTGCCCATTCCTTCCTTCAGTTCTTGACCTGCACAAGGAAGGAAAAACAACAACAACCCTAACAGCAGCCAAGTCAGAGATTTAGTGGAGAACTGGTCAATTCAATAGCCAACACACACATATTTCAAGTGATTCTCATAACTCACCAATACACTGAACCTTAAAACAAATATACTTACCTGCTTTAGTAGGATATGGGAGCTACTTTTTTTTTTTTTATGAAATTGTGGGTTGGGGGAAAATCACTTGGGCTTTTTGCTATCATACTAGGGTATACAGTATTAAGCTCCTGCTGCTTTTTTTTATAGGTCCGGTTGCGTTGATGCTCAGTGGTGGCTTTGGTGGCATGTGTCTCTGGATTGCTGTTTACCCAGTGGACTGCATCAAATCTAGGATCCAAGTTCTTTCCATGGCAGGACAACAAACTGGCTTTATGAGAACTTTTGCAAGTGTTGTCAAGACTGAAGGTTAGAATATGGAAGAGACTAATGGGGCCATGGGTGAGGGTATCTCTTAACTTCTGCAACGCCACAACTGAGGGATCAGCTATCCCCTACAGAATTGTTTTTATGCCTGCAGGCAAGACTAAATCACAAACAGTAACCCACATTTGAACTTGGTATAATCATCTCAGCCCTTAGAATGGTTAATTAGTCTTTAGGATCAACCTCTTTTAATATACGGCAGACTTTCCTGATCTGCCCCCTTCAGATTTGGGCTGCAGCTCACATCATCCCCAGGAATGTTTCATATCACAGTAGTATGTAGTATGACTTGTTTAAGGCTTTAGAATAGAACAAGGGCTCCTAAGTGAAGGACAAATATGTGTTATGTCATTTGAATCAAATATGACTTTACATAACTACATCATTTGTATTATGTCTACATGTCATTTTGATGTTACTATACTTTTTATAAACTGTACATTCATTTCATTTATTGTTGATCCCTTCACTTGCACTTAGCAGCCTTCTAGTCTAATTTTCAATAAGAAAGTTAGGTTGTATAATTTAACCATTCTAAGATATAATTAACCTATGACACTGGTTCTCAACCTGTGGTCCACTATCGTAACGGGGTCCACAAAGGCTTGTTATGATTTAAATCTTAAATCTTGGGGGTTCATGATCATGGTGTGTGGCCACAAAAGAAGAAGAAAAGGTTGAGAACCACAGACCTATGATAGTCATAGTCCAGATACAAATTTAGATTTATTTTTTCTTTCAAATACACTATCTCCAAATCAACCGGATAGATTTATATATAGTTGTATTATTACTATAATCTAGTCATTTCAGACATACAATTTCATCTTTTATTTTTTGAATAGATTATATTGCTTAACACATTACTACTCATTAAAGTAAGATAAATAATAAATTGAGATAAAGTCATCTGATCAAGCCAAAAATATTTAACCATTTCTTCTGAATTTGCAGGCAAGCTGAAATGCCTAAAAGTTTAGCTTTTGCTGGATTTCCTTCTTCAGTTTTAAATCAGTATAACATAGTCCAAGTTTTAAAAAACGATGGAAATGAAATTCTAAGATAGTTTTTCTAATGCTTATGTCTTGCTCATAGGTGTGTTTGCCTTGTACTCTGGACTGAAACCTACTATGATCCGTGCATTCCCAGCCAACGGTGCCCTGTTCCTTGCCTATGAACACAGCCGTAAACTGATGATGAACCAGTTTGATAGCTAGAACTTTTATCACAGACATCATTAGACTATGTGTGGTCACCACAGTAATTGTCCAACTGTGAGTGACAGATTTTAAAATGTGAAATAAGAGTGAAATGACTAAATTTTTTTAAAAAAATGATTTCAGTAAAAATGCTGTATTTTCTAAATGTTGTGTGCTTTATGAATTTACACATCTAGATCAGCACTGATACTACATGATCTTATAAGGGATTTTAATTACTCACTTCTATAGAAATGTTAGTCATGGGGCTTTAAAAAAGAATATGCTGCAATATCAGTTAACTATTATCTTGCAACATAGTGACTGCATTATAGAAGTAACTTAATATGCTGGGAAGCTGAGCAGGAGGTGCATTGCAGAGTAGTTTTTATAATGTCCCACATTAGTTAATTTGTATACAATTCTACTTACCGGTTACTTGATTCTCACACATCAGAGAGCATTGGAAAGCACATTACACATAAATAGACTTCTAAAAAAATCACTTGTAATCCGGTACCCAATATTTCTTTATAATGTTCCGTGTTCCCAGAATACAGTGCCCTTTGTTCTGAAACTGTTGATTAGAGAAATTAGATTTTTTTTCATTCTCTAATGACATATAATCTACACAAGTCTAAGCATTTCTTTTAAAAGTAAAAGGTATTCATATAATCTGCTGTGTTTGCCTATAATCATGTCATATTACTTAGTTGTAGCATATTATTAATAGTGAGGTGGACAACAATTGGCTTAGCTCAGGGGTGAAATCTACTTACCTTCCCTACTGGTTTGGAAGTACGCGCTCCGCACTTGAAATGACAAAACATCAATGTGGAACTAATTTAAAGCTGCTGAACTGGAATTCATGAAAAATATTACACTGTAACTAAATCAACAGGTAGAATTTCTTGCTTGCCAAAGAAAACATGAAAGGTTATTTATAAGGAAAAATTTGGGGAGGTAATGTAATCACTTACATGCACTATCTATGGTGAAGGAGCCATCATCATTACATATCATAAACTCCAGCCATTTTAAAACAATGAACTTCTGTGGCAACTTTTCCTAACATGATATTCTCCGTACATCTACTCCTATTGTGCCTGGAAACTGAACTGTGATTTTAAAGCCTTCCCAATCAATGCAAATTATGAAATTATCTGATCTGACAATGTTTGGGGTTCCCACGTGTAGCATAAAAATTAACCCAAATACACCAAATCAGAAACTCAGTAAAAGGCCTATGGAATGCAGAGAGAGAGAGGGAGAGAGAGAAAGCAGGTAAAATCTTTGATCTCAAACCTTGGGACATCATGGCTCACACATAAATCTGATGAATCTGGCATTAGAAGTCATTACAATATAATTATGCCTGATCTCCAGACTCCCAGTCATAAACTACTATTGGAAACTGGCCAATAACCTGGTCATTTTAAAAAGATTTTTATAAGATCAGAATAAGATGATGAAGAACTTGTGAACTTGCTACTGAGTTGACAAAGAGGGGTGGGAACAGAAGAGAGTAGTAAAACTCTTTGAAGACTCTGTAATTGTCTTACACATAATCCAGATGGCAAAATTAATTGTTGTAATCATGATAGCGCACTAGGCCTTAGTTTTATTTTTACATTCAAGGTGATTCTGCACACTGAGAAGTAGTAGTCTCAAAATACAATTCCATATCGGGTGCGAAACCAGGTTACTGAATTATGCAATTTCCAGTTAAGTCTGTTTCTGCTTGCTTCAGTCATGGGTCAGTGAAAACTATCTCCACAGCAAAATTATCTCTGAACATCTTCCACATCTTTGGCTTGTGTAAGTTATCGATTTCATTTCTTGTGAGGAAAAGACTAGGAAAAAGAGGAAAAAAACTAGTTCTCTTAATGTAAATGATTTAAACTGTTGCACAGAAGGGAACAAAATATTTTTTCTTATAACACTGAATATTGAAGTAACAGAATATAGCCTGTTTATTTTCTTTTCCCAGAAAAATATTCAGCTCTTCAGCAACCCTTTGGTTCCCATTAAGAATGCACATGTCTGTCTCCTGTGCATGGATAGTGCCATTGTGTCTCTGCAATGCTATCATTCACCTCCAAACATTACTCATAGAAAGAATGACAGGTGTGTCACATCTAAGAAAGCTGAATTTTCAAGCACATAAAACTCATATTTTCATGACTATTGGCACGTGGCAATACTCATTTTTGATGATGTCACACAGATGCAATCAATAGATGCAATTGGGAGGGAAAAGTGTATAAATGCCCCCAAGTAAATAAATATAAATAGTTTAAGAAGAGCATAGTTTGGGGAAAAATATAGCTTGACTGCAAAATAAATTCTAGCCAACGCTAAATGTGTTTCCAAACATTAGCAAACAAGCAATATGAAACATAGTTTAATAGAGACTAAAGAAAGAGAGAAATAACACTTGCAACAGAAATTATCCCCTTGCTTAAAAGCACTAAGGTGCCACTCTAGTATTTTGGATCTCCTACATGGCAAATAAAGTTATTTATCTGCAGTGACAAACTGAATGGTACCACTGAGGAATTATTTTCAAAAAAAGAGTTATGAGTTTTTACTAAATAATCACATAACTTTTCTTAAGAGACTTGATAAGCTTTATAAATCCATTAAAGGAAAACCAGTAATAGGAACATAGGAACATCTCTCAACATGGTAGAGGCTTTTTTTTTTAAGCTGGCATTTTCTCAAGAGTTGGTTCATACCAAGCAATATTAAATGGCAGGCCTCCTTTTCTCAACAGACTATCCCCTCAAAATATACAACCACATAGAAATAAAGAAATGACTGTCTCTTTCTATGGAGACTTAAGCTAACTTCTAGTCTCAGGGTGTAACCTAAAGTCTCTTACACCCTGGCTCATAAGTCTGGGTGCATTTTTGCTTTCTTTTCCAGTACATGTGTGCTTTCAAACATTACAACTTACTGATAGTCCCGTATAAAAGCTGTGTGGAACCAAAAAAAGAAAGCACAGCCATCATAGCCTTTTGGAATATCCTACATTTTTTAAAAAAGACAAGAAATAAAGTTAATGCTACTTAGATAAAACATCAAGCCATCATCACAGCCAAAATATAGAAAGAACTGAAATCCACAATAAGATGTCTTAAACTGGCCACTTCTGGTCAATTTATGCAGAGAAGTCTAGCAGCTTAAGACTGCAAAACAGAAAAGTCTGAAGTTTTTTTTTTTTTTCCCAATCCAAATCAACAATTGGTCACTTTGTGGCATGTCTATGCAATTTCCTTAATAACAATCTGGAAGTAGTTTGCCACTGCTTTTTAGAGTTTTTTTAGTCTGACATTTCCTGGTGGACTCCAAAACAGGCCTACCCAGCTTAGTTTTTTAAAGTCAGCCAAGTTTGGTAGGTGGGTGTAAGGTCAGCAGGATGGTTAAAACGTTTAAAGGTTTTGTGACTGAGATGGAATGGAATAACTATTTCAACAGTTACAAATGTGAAAGGTATATAACCAAGTCACCATTACTCAACTTACAGAAGTAGCTTCAAATCTGACTTTCACATCATTTCTGATGATAGGACAGTTCTTCAAACCAATTGCTAACAGGTCATTTTCATGATCAAGGAACAACTGAAACAAAATAGATACACATCTTATTCTCATTCACTAAATGTCTCTCACCAAATGCAAGACTAGTTTTTTAGTTTTTTTTCTCATGCACTGAAATCACCATGAAGGAACTTGGAGGGAGGTTCAGCTCAGTATCTGTTAATGTTTCAATAAGTCTCTCCACTTCAGAGGACAAGATTATGTATGTGAGAGACTGACAGTTATGTGCACATTGCATTACCCATTCAGGCTCAAAAGGAAATTTTAAGGGTAAGAAGTCATGCCATAAAACTGCCATTTAGCTCTTGAACAGATTATAGTTCTATAACTATACAGCCACATGCAACATTAAGAGTTCTCCACTAATGCTCTAGTAATAATTAGCTCTACTTTGAATGCAGCTTTTCCTAGTTTGCTTCTCAAAAGTTACTTCTCTCAGGGCATGAGCATTAAAAATGCATTATTCTCTGATCCTCAGATAGATTAGTGCCACCTCTAGTTAATTTATCACTATTTGTGGGAATTTACCTGACATATAATAATCTAACAGCCTTTCTGGATTGTAGTCAAATAGCATGCTAGCTATTTTTGTAAAGAATTGTAAAAGGATGTTATTCTCACAACACAGCCAAAAGGAATTGCAGAAGCTGCCATATTGCAAGTCAGATTATTAGTGTCGCTAGTACTTTCTTTTTTATACTGGTTCTCCAGGACCTCAAATAAGTTTCTCCTCCCCATTTATAAATACTACAGACTGAATTGAAACAAATACCTGGCATGCATACCACTAAGCATGGCCCTTCTCACTACTTTATTCATTACTGCCTATCAGGGAATTCAAAGCAAGGATGCATCAGTTTCCACTGCAGTATACACATCTGTGCAGCAATTGAACATGGGATGAATGGGAACTCTATCAACAAATCCTGGCCTTCATGACTGCAAGATCCTTAAATTAACATGAAGCTCTGACCTTGCAGTTCATTAGTGTTGCACAATTGCATTGAAATGCTATTTCCTTCTTCATGATTATCTTTATTTTGAAATCAGTCCCATTGCCTTTACCAACTCCTAAAGAGGGGAAAGAAGAGAATTGGAGACAAGACGCATTAAATAATTACTGGAACCAAACAATGGAATTCATATTTTAAACCAAAAATATCCTGTGATGTTGCAAAATGACCAGCTCTTTCATCTCCTAGTCCAATGATGGCGAACCTTTTTGGCATTGCGTGCCAAAAGTCTGAGCGGGTGAGCGCTGTTGCGCTCCCGCGTGCCGGAACCCATAATGCAATGTGCACTCCCATTTACGCATGCGTGCACGACACCCCCCATGCTCCCTCTACACATGCGCCCACACTGCGTATGCGTGCCCCCCCAATGCGCCCCCCCACTTTTTCCAAGTGGGCCGGCATACCTCTTACCAGAGGACAACTAGGTACCGGCCCGTTCCCTGGTGAGACAGCTGTTCTCCGTCCAGCGCATGGCGCTGCCAAGATGGCGGGGCCGAGACTGCCCCCGAGGAAGCTCCAAACATGAGGCTTGCCTGGGCTCCTTCCCACTG